TCAAATTAAAATGTGGTCTCAAGGGGTCAAATGTGTGGTTCCATGAGAGGTAGAAAGGTAGGAGTGGATGAGGTTAGGCAAAGGAGAATGAATAGTGTTGAGTAGGGTCAACGGGCACGCGGCAGCAGATGGAACGCTGGTGCTTCACCTCCCAGCCTCTCTCTAACTCTGGTTCTGGTTTGTTACCTGCATTGGGAGGATGTCAGGAGCCCACATGTGATGAGGAGGCCATTTTTACTGCTGCTGGTTAGCAAGGTCACAGAGATAGGGTACTTCTATAGCTGTAGTGCCCCCTCTTTCTGTAACTGAGGTTTGAACTCAGGGCCTCACACATGTTACATAGGCACTCCCCTACTAGCCACTCCCCCAGCCATTTCTGCATTATTTTCAAGATAGGCTGTGCACGCCTCAGCCAAGACCATGATTCTCTTTTTGTCACTGGGAAGGTAGGCGCCCACCACCACATCCAGCTGTTGGCTGAGATGGAATCTCATGAACTTTCCTACTGAGGCTGGTCTTTAATCACAATCCTCCAATCTCTCCCAAGTAGCTAGGATTACAGGCTTGAGCTACCACTTTTAGCTCAGTGTCTGTCTACTCCTGCTCTTTGTGGAAGTAAAAGCAAATCCAACAGTATTGGCAAGAACTTTCTGATCCTGCCTTCCTGGCATCAGATCAAAGTCCTTCTAGCAGTTTCCTGAACTCTTGACTCTCCAAAGGTAGAGGCCACCCTGGCTGGTCCATGCTACAGTGAATGGCAGTCATTCAGGAAGGCCCAGCCTGAATCTTGCTTCTCCAGCCTTCCAGTAGTTTTGGAAACATCTAATTCCCCTGATTAAGTCCCTTTCTTAATTAAAATTAAATATCCATATTTCTTTTTCTTCTTTTGTACTGAATCTTGGCTAATTAGAATAAAAATAAGGGAACCTTATAGTTGAGGAAGAATGATTCCACTAATTTTTCTGTTTGAAATGATGAAACAAGATTCAATTCAGTGAAGGCAAAAAAGTGATTTTTGTTGGTGAGGTCATGGGGCTTAAACTCAGGGCCTAGGCACTGTCCCTGAGTTTTTTTGCTCAAGACTAGCACTCTGCCACTTTGAGCCACAGTTCTACTTCTGGTTTTCTGGTGCTTTTATGGAGATCAGAGTCTCACTGCCCAGGCTGGCTTTGAACTATGATCCTCAGATCTCAACCTCCTGAGTAGCTGGGATTACAGGTGAGAACCATCAGCACTTGGTTTAAACAAATAATTTTTATGCCTATAGTCTAATATTAATATGTTCAAATTTATACATTATAGTTCTTCACAACAAAGTATCTGCTTTTCAGTGGTATATATTCTCCATCTTTCTTGACTGGAAGTCTAAAGAATGGACTCCTTTATAATACTTATCAATTTACAAATAAAACTAGGCTTATTTTAATGTATATTAAGTATTTTTTGCTTTGAATTTATTTTCCCTTTTACTAAATCACAAACTCCATATTACTAACTCCATATTTTTAATTTTTGGGGGGGGGTCCAGTCATGGGGCCTGAACTCTGGGCCTGGGCGCTGTCCCTTAGCTCTTCAGCTCAAGGCTAGCGCTCTACCACTTGAGCCACAGCGCCACTTTCAGCTTTTTATTTTTTGCTTATGTGGTGCTGAGGAATCGAACCCAGGGCCTCGAGCTTGCAAGGCAAGTGCTCTACCACTGAGCCACCTTCCCAGCCCTTTTAATGTTTTTATTAAAAACCCATGCTAGGAAAATTGTGAGTTGGAAGCCAGCTTGAAAAAAAAAGAAAGAAATCAGTTTGAATTACATAGCAAAACCCCAACCTCCCCCCAAATAAAAGCAAATGGTAAAATATAAAAGGGCTACATTATATATCCCTTGTATTTTTTGTCACACATATATGTTTAATGCATAAAATGAGAGGCAGAGAAATATGATTTAAAACAAAAAATCGAGTATCTCAGCTTCCACATTGCATAGATGTGATCAATTTGTCCCAACTGATTCATTTCCACTGAGATAGCAAACTCCAGGAAACTGAATTCAATTCTTCAGTCACCCAGAAAGGGTTTCCAGATTGGAGAAAACTTTGGCATACGATGGTAATGAACTATTTATAAAATATGCCCAAAGGAATTCAGTATAAGGAGTTCAAGTTTTCTACATTATAAAGCTAGAGAACTGATGAACTTTGGAGGGCATCCTAGGAAGAAGTGGCAGAGCCCAGAGACAAAGAGATTCAGAGAAGTGGGAAATGTTTTAGAGAGAGAGAAAAAAAATAGAGGAATTCAGGTAGAGAAGGGCAATGGATTCCTACAGGGATAGAAGCCAGGGAACTGTTGGACAGCAACACCTATTGTAGAACACTCAAACGCTGGGAGAAGTGGAAGAGAACTCAACAGAAGAACCAGAGAGGAATCAGGGGGAAAAAATCAAAAGGCTGCAGAGTGTTTTATGAGAAGGTAAGAGATACCCCTAGATTCTTCTACTTAAATATCATCTGTGCACCAGTGAGTAGGAGAAGGAAAGCATTTCCCTCACCCTCTTAGCCCCTCCAATGGGGAATGTGAAGAAATGTGAATTATAAATTTAAACTGACCAAAGACAAACAGAAGAAAGGCACACAAATTCTATTTGATGATGATGTTTTTACCACTCATGGAGATAAACTGAAATCTCCTCATAGGCTTGTATGTTGAACACTTAGTCCTCAGCTAGTGATACCATTTGGGTGAGATTTTAAAAACTTTACTGGATGGGGCCTCGCTGAAGGAAGTAGGTTATAAGGTACGCCTCTGATGTTATATCTGGTCTTCAATTCTTTCCTCGTGTCTGTTTCCTGTTTGCCATGAGGCCAGTAGCCTCCTCCACTACTTTTCTGCCACCATGTTCCACCCAAGCACATGGGGACAAGTGACCCTGGACTGACCTCTTTGGAACCATGAGCCAGTACAAATCACTCTTCCCTTACGTTATTCTCTTGAGTGATGGCAAAGCTATGGAATACAGAACACGGGTACCAGAGAGGCGTGGTCATTGTCTGCTTAAAAACTCAACGAGGGCAAAGATGCTGGCCTCTGAATCATTAGTATATACTGGAATGCCTAGAACAAGGACTGCCAATAAGCCCTCAATGGACATTGAATGAATAAATCTTTCTTGTTCTTAAAAAAACAAAACCAAACAAAACTCTATTATAGTCTCTAGTAAGTAATAGAGAAAGGAAGCAAGGCAGAGCTTCTTATTCAGGAGAGAAGAAACATTCCAAAGAAAGGAATGAGATTGCAAATTGAGAGGGAAATCAGAATAAGATTTCAGCAAAATGAGGGGGAAAACTCCTCTCATTACCACCATCCAAGATGTAGATGGAATGATGGGAAGAGGAATTGAGCTAAATGTAAGGGAGATGTAAAGGAGATTAAAAAAAAAAAAAGCCACTATTCACACTGCTATACACAATAGGGACTCAGGGAAGGGTTTTAAACAAGGGAGTAGATGACCTGGAATGTATAGAAGGTACACGTGGGAGAACTATTAGGAAACTGTTGCAGTAATTGTCGTGTAGGTGACAAAGACCTAGTGAACGCAACAGCAATAGAAATGATGAGGAAGGAAAGAATTCCAAACATCTCAGTTGTAGAATCAGTAGGCCTGATGAGTGATAGAAAGACATGGTTGGAATATTTCTAATGTTTCTAGCATGAATAGCTGAATGAATAATGATGTAATTATCAGAGTTAAAAATTATATAGTGCCAGGAGAAATGGTGATTTAAGTTAGACAACCAGTGGGGTTATCCACAAAGAGCTGGAAATGAATATTGAGGTGGTATTTTGGAATGAAGCTTATAAGCATGAACGAGATTTCCAGAATGCACAAAATAAAATGAAGAAAGAAGTTGAGAATGATAGCATGGTGGGCAGTTTTCTAGGATTTGGAGTGTGGAAGGAGTTCATAGCAATGATAGATTTATCTTGTGGAAATGATGAATCATGACTTGGAAGAATTCTGGAAGGGAACGATGCATGTCCAAACCCCATGGTTTTAAACGTATGTATGAAATGCAATGCATATGCATGAAACCTTACGTAGGAGCTTATTGTGAAAAGGTCAGGCCAAGGAAGCCAAGGTTTCCACCGCACAGTGGAAACTCAGAGGCACTCAGTTGGGTTAGAATTGGCTCAGAGCTTTTCCACCTTTAGAGAGAAGTTCTAGCAGAAAACTGACCTCTTACAACCTCCAAGAAGAAGGAGCCATGGGAGGTACTGAGGAGGAGAGAGGACCCACGGATGTCTCGAGAGTGGGCCAGGACAGGGGTTCAGCATCCCTTCTCTAGAGCTAACCTGCCTCACTAACAATAATTAGGCCGTCTTCATCCCAAATCCTCAGTCCTCTTTTTTTCCCCCTTTCCATCTGACTGATCACAACACCCCTGGGTTCTCCCTGCCTTCTAGATTGAGGTGAGTTACGGGCAGCCGCTTGGAAATGGACTGGAAAGTCCGCCATGGTTCACGGGCGCTGTGCACCTTCCGTGAGTCAGCTGGTATCTCTGTGCCTCAGTTGCCTGTGTCTGCCCAACTTTTCAAAATGGAATTCCAAGACATTAAAGCGAGAGGAGATGAAGCCGGCTGTAAAAGAACACTAAACTAGAAGGACTGCCCCAGGTGGATTTCCAGGGATCCGCAGGCCCGGGTCACCCCTCGAGGGAAGGCCCCACCCCGAGGCCTGAGCGCGGCCTGCATGGCGGGGCCCGGGAATCTGCATTCCGGCGGCTTCACAGGTGATTCAGATGCTCGGTCAGGCTGGAGACTCGATGCCCTCGGGTTCCGCCAGCCACTTCTCCACTTCCTCCCGGCTGCCGCAGCCAGCCTCCAGGTCCCGCCACCTCCGAGGCCGGGAGCCGGGGTACCGAGAGCGCGCCGCGAAGCCCCTCGAGCCCCTCGGCCGCCCGCTCCCCGCCCCCCACCGCCCCGCCGCCGGCAGGTTACATAACGGGCCGCGCGCCGCGTTCTCGCGAGATTTCCGCCCGCGCCCCCCCCTCCCCTCCCCTTTCATTCCACGTCAGAAGGAACCGGGCGGAGCGGCCAACATGGCGGAACGCAGGCGACACAAGAAGCGGATCCAGGTAGCGAAGTCCACGCCGGGGGTAGGGGGCTCCGGCGCGTGCGAAAGTCCGGGAAGCGGGAAGAGCCCGCTGAAAGGCTGAGCGTGGGGGCGGGAGGGGCGGGCACGGCTCCCGCCGTGGGGCCGGCGGCGGCGGCGCCCCGAGCGGCCTGAGGGCCGAGGGGGTGCGGCGGGGGCCCGGCGGAGGCCGGCGGGAGGGGGGGCGCCGGGACGGGGGACGGGGCGCCGCGCTCGGGCCCGCGCCCGGGGCCCCTCCTCCGGGCGCCCGGCCGGCCCGCCGTGGAGGCCGCCGGCCCCGCGGTGGCTGGAGGCGGAGGACCGACCCCGAGCCGCCGGGGCTTTGTGGCCCGGGTCGGAGGATCGGGACCCGGGCTCGCCGCGCTCGGGGTGGGGCGGGCCCGCGGGCCGCGCGGTCTCGGAGCGCCAGGTGTGTTTTCGCGCGCTGGCCCTTCTCCCCCTCCGTAGTGGTGACTTGAATCGCCCATTTGAAGCTTGCCGCCTCTCTCTGGCCCGCGACGCGGGTGTAAACAAACCCAGCCCTTGCCGGGGCGGCCCCGAGCCCCCCTCCCCGCTCCCCGCGCCGGCCGGTGTTCCTCACACCCTGCGTGACGTCCCGCCCTCAGCCCACACGTGAATGTCATCTGTGCTGCCCTCCCGGCAGGTTTCTCTCTATTGTTCCTGTGGGTTTTATGTTATTTTTGCCAGAGGGAGTTGGGGGGGGGGGGATCCCAAGTTTAGACAAGTCTTAAAACCGGAGGTGAAGGTCAGTGGACGTTTCTAACAATCCCAGGTTTAGGTGGAGGTGGGTAGGCGGTATTAGACTTTATATTGGAGTTTGTCTTTTAAACCATAGGCTTTTCGAAGAGCTGCTTGTGTTTCAGTTGTTACTTTCTACCGAACAGCATTGTAAGGAAAGAGGATGTTCAGTACTTTAATGGTGGTGGTCAAGAGCTGAAACTTCAGCCTGTTTGTTCCCCATCTCCACCAATTAATAGCTCCTTCTCTCCCAAGATAAAGAATTTAGTTTGGTTTATTCGTTTGGTTTTTATTATTAAGTACTGATCGACGAACAGCTCCCCATTCAGGAAATAAGTAATAGCGTCGTGAGTTATATGATGGTATAGCTAATTACTTTCTTCTATTTGAGAATCCGATTGTTCAAAAATCTACTTGTCATACTCACAATGAATGAGTGATTTTCTTATTTTCCAAATTTTCTAAACGAGTGTATAGAATGTTTGTGGATGGTGGAATACTACTTTTATGCAGTCTCATAAAGTAATTTTTTAAAAAATGCACTGCTCTAGGGAATTCTTCACTTTTTCTTTCCCCTAGAGAATCAGAAACTATGACTGGCAGCACTTGAAATAAAAAGATCACATGCAATGACAAAGCTCAGAGTTTGTTGCAGAAAAGATTTCTATCTTAGGACTTGAAGGCAAAAGGCTCTACAATATCAACTGAATTTCCTGTTCTTTGTTACTTGATGCTTCAGGTTTAGAAAGGATTTTTTGTGTTTAATAGAATCAGTAACCTTGTGTTACTCTTTGTACAGTTTTGAGGGGAGGGATGTTTGATACAAACAAGTTCAGGTTGAAAAAAGTATCAAAATCTTTTGCCCCCCTGGGAGAACTTGCTTCTAACTTGTTCACACAATTATTTCTTGGACTTAAATTACTGGCCACTGAAAAACCTGAAGTTTTAATGACAGATTGTCAAATGAGAATAATGAAACATTTGAGAACAGTTATTTAAGAAATAGAGTTGTAAATGTTTCTCAGGAAAAAGGTAATTTTGTAACTTAATGAAGTGTTGTTTACCAGAAGCATTGGTTGAGAATCCTGTGTGTGGTAAAAATTAAAGAATTGAAAAGGATCTGGTAGAATGAATCTTTTTTCATAAATTCAGACTGATATGAAAGTAGAGTGGTGGGCCTAGAGCTTATTGATCTCACCCAGCAACCTCATTTTACAGATAAATTGAGTTACAGGGAAGTTATGTAACTTAGGATCACTCATGAAGACAGTAACACTATCTTTGAACTTATAATCTTTATTTTTTTATACTCCCAATCAAATTGAAGAACAAATTGAATGTTCTTCAATTCAATGTCTGTGTCACTACTGACAAAAATAAAGTTATTCTGAAATACTTTAATCCTGAATTCTTTATATTGCTCTTTGTAACTTAAAGACTTAACATAACTTGATTCATCCCATCTGCTATTCTGCTGTGTGTACAATAGCCAATTGAGTTTTTTGACATTTAAATTACTATACCTAGAACTTTTATAACCTCCATCAGTTAGGTTTGTTGTACCTAGCTGTCTCCCTGGCACTGAAGTCCTGAAATATGGTGGGTTTATGTGGTTAATTTCAGGAAAAAGGGAGGAGGGGGAAGAGAAATTTGGAACTATTCATCCAAATTGCAGGTCTGAGTTCTAAAGAAAAGAGGAGACCCAAAACTAAAGAAAAGAGGAGACCCAAAAAGCAGTCCTGAGTTGGACTCTCCCTCCCCACAACTGTAACAGAGTTAATGATGGCTTTGTCTTCATATAGCAAACCTGTCACTACAGAGAAAATATGGTAGAAGTGATTTGGAGGTATTGCAGGTCCCCTCCACTTTCACTTCTGTTAACCTGTTTGCATGTTCGCAAATATTTCATACTGCTGTTTTGTATCTTTGCATATGAATTTGCAACTTAAAAACTAATACTTTTCTTTCTGGCTTAACTAAGGTTATTTTTTACTAACTAGAGTTTAAAAATGATCAGAAATCATGTAAATCAGAGCTAATGGTTTACTCTGAATGTATTTTTTCTCAAAAATGTGAATTATTGGCAAAGTAGAAATAATCATCTCTTTCATTAAGTGTTAATGTTTCAAATAAAATGGTATTTGTTTAGGCAATATTATGAGCATTTTAACCAAAATTTCCATTTAATTTTAGATTTTGATTTGCACCATCCAATATATAGGTACTTGAGTGCAAAGAAAGGCAGGCCACCCTAGTGTCCTCATTCTGCAGCATTGTGTTCATCCATTGGGCCAAAAAGTTCTTTCTACTCATGAGAGTTGATGAGCTAGTTTGTCTTATATTAGTTGCTTCTAGCATTCTCAAAACAAGCAAAAACATTTTAAAATGTTAGGGAAATACTTAGAAGTTCACATTAAAAGGAAACAACAGAGGGAGGAACATTGTAAGACTTTGACGTTGTCCTTAGGTGGTAGGGAAATGGTGACAGGGAGGACATTCATTTGAGATCTCCTGTATGTCATGCTTGCAGGGTACTCTTCTACGACGTCTTCATTTCTGTTTCTAGAACTCTGATAGATGACACAAATTATATTCATTAAAGAGAGCCTACAATATGGATAATTGTAAGTTTTCAGTACATAAAAAAGAAAGTACTAGTGGAGCCTGGTGCTGGTGTCTCACACCTATAATCCTGTCCACTCAGGAAGCTGAGGCCTGAAGATTATGGTTCAAAGCTAGCCTGGGCAAGAAAGTTTGTGATACTCTTCCATTAAGCACCAAAAAAAAAATCTGCAAGTGTATCTGTGGCTCAGGGCATAGCCTTGAGCAAAACAGCTCCAAGATAGCACCTAGGCCCTGAGTGCAAGCCCAAGTACCAACACACACAAAAAAGTACTAGTGGACAAATAATGCTATGTCTAGTTAGAAGAGATTATTCACATATTTGTTTTCTTAGTCTCATCTGTTCATTGTTCTTTAGTAGTGTCTTTACTGAGGAGGATATGCAGTTGTTGTTGAAAAGTTGGTTAGCTTAAAGTTTATTGTTAAAATGGGATTTTAAAATTTTATAGATACATAGTATCATATTCCTTGTTGCATATTTTAAGAATAGTGGTTTTTTGGGTTTTTTTTGTTTTTTTGGGGGGGTCCAGTTGTGGGCCTGAACCCTGGGAGCTGTCCCTCAGCTCTTCAGCTCAAAGCTAGCGCTCTACCACTTGAGCCACAGTGCCACTTTGGGCTTTTTTCTTTTTGTTTATGTGGTGCTGAGGAATCGAACTCAGGGCCTCAGGCATGCAAGGCAAGCGCTCTACCACTGAGCCACCTTCCCAGCCCCGAGAATAATGGTTTTTATGTAGTCTGATATAACCAGATTTTACATAGGCTCTCCTGATCAGCTGTCAGATTTTAGTACATTAATCTGTGATTAGTCTAATTAGGGGTTAGTATGAGTATTAAAATCCATGTCTAAAATTGATATGCTTGTTGTCCACATCTACATTCCTCCCAGATTTCCTTTGTGTTACTGAAGACTGGTCCTTTCTGTTGATAACTCAAAATCTGACAACTTTTACCAAGCTGTTCTATTTGTCTTGCTGCAGGGAGGGGGTGTGTGGTAAGGGTGAGTGTATAGGGGCTTGAACTCAGGGCCCAGGTGCTGTCTCTCTCTGAGTTCTTTTGCTCAAGGCTAGTGCTATACCTCTGGAGCAACAGCACCACTTCCCCTTTTTGAGTAGTTTATTGGTGATAAGAGTCTCACAGATTCTTTTGCACTTTCTGGCTTCGGACCACAATCTTTACATCAAGGCCTCAAACCACCAGCACCTAGCACCATTTACTCTGTGTGTGTGTGTGTTTCTCTCTCTCTGTCACTCTGTCTCTCTCTGTGTGTGCCAGCCCTGGGGCTTGATCTCAGGACCTGGGTACTTGTCCCTGAGCATTTTTTGCTCAAGACTAGCACTCTACCACTTGAATCACAGCTGTACTTCTGGTTTTTTGGTGGTAATTAGAGATTCAGACTTTGCTGCCTTGGCTCTCTTCAAACCTCAGTCCTCAGATCTTAACCTCATGAATAGCTAGGATAACTGGTGTGAGCCACTGGCATCAAGCTTATTTGTCTTTATCACTGAATGCTATGTATGTACATTTGATGTTTCAAGTGTCTATTCCCTTCCTGTTATCAGTGCACTTCCTACATTTACTTGACTATTCCAACAATTTTCTAACTAGTTCCTCTACTTCTTTGTTTTACCCCTCAGTGCATCCTTTACTATACTATCAAAGTAATGTTTAAAACCTTTTTCTTTTCTTGTCTAAAAATACCAGTGGTCCTTCTGCTAATTACAGGGCAAAGTTAACTTTTCTCAGCCTGCCTTGAAGACTCTCTATTCAACTTCTAAATTATTAATTTCCGGGCTGGGAAGGTGGCTCAGTGGTAGGGCACTTGCCTTGCATGCCTGAGGCCCTGGGTTTGATTCCTCAGCACCACATAAGCAAAAAGAAAAAAGCCGGAAGTGGCACTGTGGCTCAAGTGGTAGAGCGCTAGCCTTGAACTGAAGAGCTGAGGGACAGCGCTCAGGCCCAGAGTTCAAGCCCCACAACTGGACCCCCCCCCCAAAAAATAAATTATTAATTTCCCAGTGCACTATAATTGGTATTTATTAGAGCCAAATTTTGTGCCTTATTTGCAGCTACAGTGTTTAGGCTCATTATTCAATTTACTCAAAACTTACTTATCTTGGCAAGGAATGTGGCTTAGTGGTAGAGTGCTTGCCTAGCATTGATGAGGCCCTGGGTTCTATTCCTTGGTACCACATAAACACACAAATAATACATGTTTTTTAAAAAACACTTAACTCATCTTTCAGAATTCAGCCCCTCTTCTTTTTGAGCTATTCCCATTCACATTGATAACCTCATTCCTACTCTGTGTTCTTCTAAAATGTTCTACTTTTTGGCTGCTCTTGATAGTTTTGTAACCAAGGTTACTTAGCAAGCCTCACAAACACTTGGTACTATAGCATACAAACAGGAAAGGATAAACACTGAGGAAGTATCTACATGATTAAATGGTTTGTACTTACACAGACCTTCCCCACACACAATTTTTTTTTTTTTTTTTTTTTGTTCGGTCATGGGGCTTGAACGCTGTCCCTCAGCTCTTCAGCTCAAGGCAAGCACTCTACCGCTTGAGCCACAGCGTCACTTCCAGTTTTCAAGTGGTTTATTGGAGATAAGAGTCTCATGGACTTTCCTTGCCTGGGCTGGCTTTGAACCGCGATCTCAGATCTCAGCCTCATCAGTAGCTAGGATTACACCAGTAATACCTTATCAGCTAATTAGATAAACATTAAAAATTGGCAACAGAATTAACAAATGTGGAAAAAATAAACGTGTGTGTATGTTTATAAAACATGTCTCTGCAGCTGGTGCCAGTGGCTCACACCTGTAATCCTCACTACTTGGAGGCTGCAGTCTTTGGATCGTGGTTTAAAGCCAGCCTACACAGGAAAGCTCATGATACTTATCTCCAGTAAACCACCAAAAAGACAGAAATGGAGCTGTGGCCCAAGTAGTAGAGCCCTAGTGTTGAGGGAAAAAGCTAAAGGACAGTGCCCAGGCCCTGAGTTCAAGCCCCAGGACTGGCACACAAAAAAAAGTGTTTGAAAACTATTTGTAGTATTATTTTCAATTCTTGTGTTAATTTTCATTTGCATGAACCTGTAGCAAATTAATAGATGAAGTTCTTAGAAGTGTAATACATTATAAAAATATAATTGAAAACTTAAACATTTGACATACAATACCAACATGTAAAGATATTTTAGCATGGTTTTAAATTTTTTGATAAGGAATTATCACCTTTTATTATGGTTGGAAATTATTTTGTAGGTAGGCCTCTGAGTCATTAGGAATCTTGTAGATGTTAGTGACATTGAAGTGTTAGATTTTGAGTTTGTAATTTTTTTCTTTGGGTCATATTTTTAGAAATGAAAATAAAGTTCTTTCCATAAATAAATCCAAGACTTTTCTATAGTCTTTAGGTTGAGTGGCTTGAATTTTTACTGTCACAAATGATAGTAGCAGAGGATATAACAGAAAACTTAGAAGCAGGCACAAAAGGAAAACAAGGATTCAGGCAGCCTTTCGAAAACTACACTATCAGTGTACTTCCATTAATCAGTTCTTGAAATGATATAGTAAAATCTCCATTTCTGCAGTTCTGTCTTTTGCCTCATCCTTACTGGGGAAAAGAAGTAGTCTGGTGAGAAAGTGTTTGATATCTGCAAGCACAAAGGAAAAGGAAGGGAAGGTAAACCAGTGCTTATCTGCTCAATAGATATTACAGCTATCATACTGAGACAACTATCTGTAGTAAGAGAATTCTCATAGTCCATTATTCATTCAACAAGGGACATTCTTTCAGTTGTTATAGCATTTAATTATGGCACTGTTTCTTTGTAGTTAGAGAATTCTCAGAGTCCATTACTCATTGAACAAGGACATTCTTTTAGTTGTTATAGCATTTATTTATGGCACTGTTTCTTTGACATTTTGGCACTTACATGGCAATGTCATATCCTTTAAATGACTACTTTGTAACTGTTCAAAATAAAAGCCATACAAAAATGAAAATGAACTTGTACAAAGTAGTTTCACTGGAAAAACAATTCAAATGGCATAGTTGAGGCCAAGAATCAACAAGCTCTTTTGCCCTATCAATTTGTATTTGAGAAATATATAGTTTTAAAGTATCCATTTTGTCTTCTCTATGTATTACCAGGTTTGTTCCAGAGAAAGTTGGAAAGCAGAGCCTAAACTTAAAAAGATTAAAGAATATCTGTTCTTTAGTGCATGAATTTCTCAAGTAGATGATCTCACAAAATACTCTTACATTGCAGGAAGTTGGTGAACCATCTAAAGAAGAGAAGGCTGTAGCCAAGTATCTTCGATTCAACTGTCCAACAAAATCCACCAATATGATGGGTCATCGAGTTGATTATTTTATTGGTAGGATTGCATCAGTAAAATCATTTTTACTGTGAACATTCTATAAAGCTTCTTTAATTTGGGATATATGGAAATTTTTAAAGTGCTTTTCAAGTATAATTATGGCAGTGAACATATGATGGTTGATTGTCCTTTTTTGGTTGAAAATGTCTATCATAAAAGAATAAAGAATAAAGTGCTTTCTGATTTACAGTAGTTGGAAAATTTTTACCTAGGACTTACTACCTTTTGCTCTGATAATACGCATACTTGATACTAACCAAGCTTTGGTTCTTCACATTATCTACAAGAGCTCAAGATAGGCCAGTGTCATAAATAATGTAGCCTATAGCTTATAAATAGTGGTTGTGCTTTCTTATTAGTTAAAATTGAGCTGTCATGAAGAAGAAATTATTTATCTTTAATGTTAATAATTGTAATGTGCTAAGTTTAGAATTAATAGATATACTATTCTCTTCAAATCTGATGTATCTACTGCTTAGTGACAGTAGTAGATGGTTTGCAGAATTAATCTTCAGTGGATTAAAGTAACATTTAATGAGAATTTTTATTGTGAAGGGAAAATAAAGGTTTTTGGCTTGATTATTTGATAAATAATGATATATACAAATAATTTGCTTTTTTTTAAACTCAGCTGGCTTTGAACTGCAGTCCTCAGATCTCAGCCTCCTGAGTAGCTAGATCACAGGCGTGAGCCACCAGCACCCAGCTTGCATTTTTTGCTGAGAATATTTCCCCATTAATTTATTTTGTTTTAATTAGTATTTCTAAATGCCATTTCATTCCAGTATTATCAATTTGTTTTTCTTTTTTCTTTCTTTTTTTTTTTTTTTTTTTGGGGGGGGGGGGTCCGGTCATGGGGCCTGAACTCTGGGCCTGGGCCCTGTCCCTCAGCTCTTTAGCTCAAGGCTAGTGCTTTACCGCTTGAGCCACAGTGCCACTTCTGGCTTTTTTCTTTTTGCTTATGTGGTGCTGAGGAATCAAACCCAGGGCCTCGTGGCATGCAAGGCAATCTCTCTACCACTGAGCCACCTTCCCAGCCCCATCAATTTATTTTTCAAATTGAGGTTTTAAGGAACTTTTATTATCATTAAACTTAGTTTTCTGTTGATGTTGGTTTTATTTTGTTATCATAATGTTGGAATTTACTCTATGAAATATTATTTTGTTTAAATAACCCTAAATCCCATGTGTTTCTTCTTTAGCTTCCAAAGCCGTGGACTGCCTTTTGGATTCAAAGTGGGCAAAGGCTAAGAAAGGAGAGGAAGCTTTATTTACAACCAGGGAATCTGTGGTTGACTATTGCAACAGGTAGTGTTTCTTAGTGAAGGAAAACAAAATTAATAAGTTAAAATTTTCTCCATAGTTCTGAAGCTCTTTGCCTGTATATATCACTAAGTGTACTATTACAGGAGAGTTCAGCATAACTTTCACATGTAACTTGTATTTCATCAGTATTTATGGAAATGTGTTGTCAGACTATTAATTTTTAAACACATAATTTCTGTTTGTGTAACATTACTCTTGTATACTTGCCGAAGCTACTGCACTGTAGAATCATCAGTAAAAACTTGTAGCAATGCCGTATACAGTGAACGATCCTCAGTAGAGTAAATGGTCAGGGAGTCTTTTTTCTTATCAGTCTTGGAGGCATTCCTGTTGTTGTGTTTATGCACTAAACCATAAACCAGTCTTCCTTTTCTGTTTTCTGCAATACTGTAGTATCCCTTATAAAAATCAAGGCAGCGTCACCATCTACCTCATCTGTTTTTTGAGAATTTCAAGATGAGGTACAGTCAGTTTGGTAACATACATGTTTGTCATAATAAATACTTTTTTCTTTGGAAAACTCCCCCACAAAATCTTAATGATTATTGACGTACCTAAAAGACAAAAAACACTTTCCTTTTAGAAAGAAATATGATTTGTTCTTTCCTATTTTTGTCCCTCAATTACATAATACTTGTTAAGTGTATTTGTTAGTTGATGTTAACTAAAATAAGTTTCCTAACAGTGACATTTATTACTTGATTTTTTTTGCGGGGGGGGGGGGGGGGGGTCCGGTCGTGGGGCCTGAACTCTGGACCTGGGCTCTGTCCCTCAGCTCAAGGCTAGCACTCTACCACTTGAGCCACAGCGCCGCTTCCGGCTTTTTTCTTTTTGCTTATGTGGTACTGAGGAATCGAACCCAGGGCCTCAGGCATGCAAGGCAAGCGCTCTACCACTGAGCCACCTTCCCAGCCCTATTACTTGATAATTTAAGATTATTACTTTTTTATTTCAGTGAGTGCAAGTTTACTTGGCATGGCTTTGGTGGGGAGACGGAGATTAGTAAAATGCAACTCAGAACACCTGTGTTTGGCCATCCATTCCACTATGACTTCATTGTCCCATGGTTCTGGAGAAGTCCATGGGCTCATATTCACTTATTCTAAGCTGTTAGCAACTTCAAAATGAAATCATGCTAGAGAGATACAAAAACTATGCTTTAAACATTTGTGTGTAACAGAATTTGAGATTTTAGAATATAGTTGGTAGGAAAGCACATGTAACATTAATGTTATGTTTAATAGTATGTAAACTACCAGCCATCTCAGAACTCTGTTTAAAAACATTTTCACAACCTGAGTTCTTAAGCTGTCACATTAAATAATTGTGAGTTGTTTTTAAAATTCTTAGTTACGGGGCTGGGAAGGTGGCTCAGTGGTAGAGCGTTTGCCTTGCATGCATGAGCCCCTGGGTTCGATTCCTCAGTACCACATAAGCAAAAAGAAAAAAAGCCAGCTCAAGTGGTAGAGTGCTAGCCTTGAGCTGAAGAGCTGAGGGACAGCACCGAGGCCCAGAGTTCAGGCTCCGCGACCGGACCCCCCCCCCCCAAAAAAAATAAATAAATAAAATTCTTAGTTACCCAGATATTAGAGAGGACTAATGGATATTTTACAGACAACTTCATTGTTGTTGGGGTGGGGGTGAACTGATAATGGGCAGTTGATATCTACTTTCTCTTTACGGCAGTTTGTCTCATTAGAATTAATTACACGGAACAAACTAATAGCCAGATGCTGGTGGCTCATGCCTGTAATTGTAGCAACTCAGGAGACTGAGATCAGTGAATCATGGTTCAAAGCCAGGCAAGGAAAGTTCGTGAGACTGCTCTCCAGTTAACCACCAGAAAACCAGAAGTGGTGCTGTGGCTCAAGTGGTAGAGTGCTTGCCTTAAACTGAAGAGCTGAGAGAGTGCCCAGTCCCAGAGTTCAAGCCCCATGAACACCAAAAACCAACAACAAAAACCTTCTCTGTCTGCCTCAAAATATTTATCTTTTCCATACGCTGTAAAAATTAAAAGGTCTTACACATACAGAAACTGAGACACAGAAACATTAAGAGCCTTGTCTAAGGTCATATAGCTAGTAACTTCTACAGTTCGCATTGCAGCATTACATACTTTTGACCACTGTATTTCCTTTCACAAAATGAGTATGCATTTGGTGGAGTAAAAATAAAATTGAGTCACCAGTCAGTACTATTATTTTTGGTATCGTTCTGTGAGCCCAAATCTCAGAGAAGAGTAGCCAATATTAGTCTATGTCTCCTGGTCTTTTAGGAGCCTTAATGCCTTATTATATGAATAGCTGAAATGACAGCACAAAGAATGTCCTAGAGTCACACTCACTTTTCATTGTATATGTCATCTTGTGTCCTTTCTGCACTGAAGTGAAAGAGAAGCGACCACTTCACCTATAACCAGATACAGCATTGTGACCAGTCCTCATAGGCTCCTGCCAACCATAAAGAAAACTGCCAAAAGAACTTCTCCAGCTATGTTTTTTTTTAAAGCAACTAAGTAGAAATAATAGAGTATGGAGTAAAACACAAGAGAAAAATGTAGGATAGTAGCATGAAAATTTTACATAGGAACTCTTAAGCTTAGCCACTGTGATATTCTACATAATGCAGTAATGTCCTTCAGACTCTCTCTCCCTCATCCCCTCTTTTTTTTTTTTCTGTTGGTTGTAGGGCTTGAATTCAAGGCCTGGGTGCTATTCCTGAGCCTCTTTGTGCTCAAGGCTACCACTCTACCACTTGAGCCACCACTCCACTTCCAGTTTTTGAGTGGTTAATTGCAGATAAGAGTCTCATGGGGACTTTCCTGCCTTGGGCTAGCTTCGATTCCCAATCCTCAGATCTCAGCTTCCTGAGTATCTAGGATTACAGGCGTGAACCATCGGTGCCCAGCACATGCTGTTAAATCATTCATTTATAAAATAGCTATTATATTACTGAGCCCCAGGATACAATGATTACTGTGAATTGTTCCCTTCCTCATAACACATATTCTAATCTGTGTGGGAATATTTGTAATTAATAGTGAAACTATCAAAAATGGCTTCACAGAAAAATGTAATCAAATTTTAAAGTATAAATAGGTGATTACCTAATAAGCAAGAGAAGAAAGAGCATTTATCCTTAGAAAAAGGCACAGCACAGCACACATACACTAGGATAGGGAAGTGTGAGTATTTATGTGAAAATGTCAGAGATGTTTGTATTGGCTGTTTGTCTTATATCACATATTTTAAGCCAAACAAGCAGAGGCCCTGATTTTATTACAAAGGCTAATGTTAGTCTCCTTTTTCTGTGTGGAGAATTAGTTTAAGTAAGACATTCTCTAAAGACTCATTAAGGAATAGGTCAATGGCTAACATTTATTTGAGTACATGTATGCCAGGAATTATGCTCAGCATGCTTTTCATTTTATCCTAAAAACCCCTATGTGATATCTAGACCTATATGATTTATAGACAGCTTAAAATTCAGTAACTTAATACCACCTAGCTTGTTAAGTGGAGAAGTGGTATTTGTCTACCTAAATGTGAACTTACTCTCATGCTAATTTGATTAATAGTGGATAATCTTTTTCATGAATGTAGCATAGCTATTTAGGAAGAATAACAAAAGCAGATGGTTCTATGCTCTTCTGAATCTGCTGTCCCTCAGCTCTTCAGCTCAAGGCTAGCACCCTACCACTTGAGCCACAGCGCCACTTCCTTTTATGTGGTGTTGAGGAATCAAACCCAGGGCCTCATGCATGCCAGGCAAGCACTCTACCACTGAGCCACCTTCCCAGCCCTGGGTTTTTTTTTTGTTATTGATGTACTAGGGTTTGGACCCTGGGCCACTTGCCTGGCAGGCACCCTACCACTTTACTCTGTTGGCCCCTCTGTGCATTGTTACTTTTTGAGATAGGGTCTTGTTTTATGCCTGGGCTGGCCTGCACTGTGATCCTCCTATTTGTGCTTCCCTTCTCCACTAGAATAACAGGAGAATACTAGTACACCCAGTGATTGTGTTTACTCCATATTTGGGGGTGCCAGATGTGCCACCATACCTATTGGTCAAGATAAAGTTTCTGAATTCCTTTTATTACCTAGGCTAGTATCTAACCTCATTATCTGATCCCTACCTCCCATGTAGATCACAGCCACTGCTTGGCTCAGTGATTTATTTACTAAGTTATTTTAGAATAGTATTTTCCATTAAATTTAGGGAAAGTAAAGATACAGAACATGATATGGAAAAAATCTAAATCACAGGTAATATTACCGTTTGAACATGTACCCTTCAACTATCTATATGTATACGTGTGTGTGTATGTACATATGTATATATGTATGTGTATGCTGGACCTGGGGCTTAAATTCAGGGCCTGACACTGTCCCTGAGCTTTTTTTGCTCAAGCCTAGTGCTCTGCCACTTGAGCCACAGCTCTGCTTCTAGCTTTTTGGTAGTTAATTGGGGTTCTCATGGACTTTCCTGCCTGGACTGGCTACAAACTGCAGTCTTCATATCTTAGCCTCCTGAGTAGCTAGGATTACAGGTGTGAGCCACCAGCACCTGCTTAACATATACTTTTAATACATGGACAGATATTTATAATATGAATGAATATAAAATACTTTTTACTCAATTAAAACAAGATAACATTTTTGCTTTCATATTGAGCAGTAATAAATATTCCTTATAGAATCCTTGGAAATAAGTTTGCAAACAAAATTATATATTCAGTACAAAGGAAGGTTTCTCATCATATTTAAACACCTCACTAACTAAGTCCTACATTCTATTCATAATTAGTCATTAAAGTCTCATTCAAATTTTTGCTTGTTCACATATGTATATATAGGTACAGACATTAATGGACACATTTTAGAGGACACTTTAAACAGTTGCACAGTTACATGTTTTGTATAAGGCCAAATGAGGTAACTAGTCATTGGCTTTGTGAAGGGGCTATGGACTCCAACTGATGGACAGCAGATGGAAGCCCAGCCAAGCAGGTAAAATAGAAATGTTCCAGGGGACACAGCACAATGACTAGGAAGAACTAGATTTCTGAACAGTGTGATAACGCTGAAACAAGTACGTAGTGACACGTGGCTTTTAGGTTATGTTGTGGTAGTTGTACATTAGCAAGGCAGGAATCAAAAGGAATTCTAAAAAACTACATGAGATTGAAAAAAGTGGTTTATAAAATTAGTAGGATTATAAGGTTCAAAGAGGAACTACCAACAGAGTTGATTTAATTTGGGATTATCTGAGCTTCTGAATATAACAGATAAAGGAGTAAAGCAAGGAAGGACTTTACTCTTAAGGAGTTTACAGTCTGGGGAAGTTGAAAACATAATAAGGAGTTAGATGCTGTGAGATAGTAATACAGGATGGAGTGGGACTATGGTCTTAAAATAGGTTACATTGCAGTTGAATAAAGCTCTGAAGGAAACAAGGCAATGAACCATGTGGGGAAAAAAATGCTTTTTGGAAGGAAGACACTACAGGTAAAGGGAAGAGTGTACCTTTGTGAAAGCCCAGGAGTAAGTACAAAACATAACCTAAAAAGGAAGAACAATATATTGAGTGAAATTAATGAAACTAGGATTATATAGTATTTGCCAAATCACACATATTTTTAGATTGGTCTTGTGAGAATCCTTATCAGAGAACAGAAATCCCATCTTAGTATATTTAATCACTCATTACTTAATTAAAAATAGTTCACAGCCAGGCACCCGTGGTTCACACTTGTAATCCTAACCACTTACTTAGGAGGCTAAAATCTGAGGATCATGGTTCAAAGCCAGCCCAGGCAAGGAATATCTGTGAGACTCTTTTTTTTTTTTATGTGAAAATACCATATAGAGGGGTTACAATTACATGGCAAGATAATGAGTACATTTCTTATCAAGCATTGTTGCCTCCTCCTTTGTTTCCCCTGCCCATCCGTCCGTCCCCCCCCACCAAAGTTGTAAAGTTCGTTTTTCGACATAACGACTTGTATATCTCATTGTTGCATTGAGTCCACCTGTATCCCTATTTAAATTATTTGTTTTTTCCCTTCCCCTCCACAAATTATACCAACATCAAATACAGTGAAAGCAGGGGTTATACTGTGAAGGAGAGACATACAAAGCAACAAAGAAATCATCTTATGAATATGTTAGAAACAATCGCATGAAAGAAAAAACATTTGAATACTTATCTTGGGGTTCATTTCACCTAACATCAACTTATCTGACCTTATCTCTAATTAACCTCCAGAAAACCAGAAGTAGCACTGTGGCTCCAGTGCTAGAGCACTTACTTGCCTTGAGCTGAAGAGCTCAGGGGCAGCACCCAGACCCAGAGTTCAAGCCCCACACCGACAAAAAAAAAGATCACTATAGATGCAGGCTGAATCATGAAGTACACATAGGAAAAAACAAAAAAGATAGCTGAAAAGACATGAGTAGGATTAATCAAGGAATTATTTAATCTATTAATGTTGCCTAAACTGTTTTCCTTTGACAGTTAGATTATATAATGAATTCAGAGAGATGCTTTATATACTCAAACCTTTCATTGCCTTTATACCTAAATTAAATAGTTAAAATTGAAAATTCTATTCAATATCACCCAGTTTTATAGAAAGTTTTGGCAACTTTCTATACCTATTTAGTTGTAAACTTTTTTTTGACTAAGTGGAATTGACTTTTCCATGAGCTTACTAGTTGTAATTCTTCTTATGAGTTGCCAATTTATGTTTTTCTTTCCTCATTTTAATTGGCTCTTGATATTTTTGTTTTCTACTTTATTTCTATATAATTAATAGGTAGTATTCTATCTTCTTTTCCCCAAGGCTTTTAAAGAAGCAGTTTTTCCATCGAGCACTAAAAGTAATGAAAATGAAATATGAAAAGGACATAAAGAAAGAAAAAGATAAAGGAAAAGCTGAAAGTGGAAAAGAAGAAGATAAAAAGAGCAAGAAAGAAAATATAAAGGAAGAAAAGACAAAAAAGGAAAAAGAGAAAAAAAAAGATGGTGAAAAGGAAGAATCCAAAAAGGTGAGTTCAAGTAAAATTGAAAAATTTAAAAAAAAATCACTATGGTGCTGGCAGCTTGGCTCAGGTGATACAATGCCTTCCTGGCATGAGGTCCTAGATTCAAACCCACCACCCCAAAAAGAAAGGGAAAATGTTGAGTGCCAATGGATCATGCCTGTAATCCTAGCCACTCAGGAGGCTAGATCTGAGAATTGGTTTTGGAGCCAGCCCAGGCAAACAGCTCTTCGAGACTTATTTCCAATTAACCAGGAAAAAGCTAGAAGTGAAAGGCATGACTCAAGGGTAAAATGCCAGCCTTGATTGGGAAGAAAAAGCTGCACATATGATCTCTGCTAGCATATAAGCATATTTAAATTTTTAATCAAGTACAACCATATTAGGATTATTTTAAATAACAAAGTTGAGAATGTATGTGTGACATATATATTTTTACTGTATGAGTTGATACTGCTTTTTCTTTCTTGGTTATTTTTCCTACTGTGTTTTAATAGGAGGAAACTCCAGGAACTCCCAAAAAGAAGGAAACTAAGAAAAAATTCAAACTTGAACCCCATGATGATCAAGTTTTTCTGGATGGAAATGAGGTAAGATAATATTAGATTGGATTATGATTATAAATCCAGTTTTTCATACAGAATTTTAGAAATATCTTTGATATCATCTAAGAAAAGAAATAGTTTAGATAATTATGTGTTTATTTGCACAATATTACTCTTAAAAATCAATTTCTCTGAATTTAGATTTGTAAATTGTAAAAATAAGATTTGACTATGTTGGGAAACTTGAAATAGCAATGGCTTAATGAAAAATGGATGCTTTTTCTTTCTCATCAATGTGATCAAGAGATAATGTACTACAACGAGACAACTCCAAGAAGGACCTAAGCACTCGCATCCTTTTTTCCTTTGGGATACTTCCATACTAACCTTAAAACAGAAAGCCTTCTTTTTAGGGACACTCTCTTATGGACACTATCCAGAAAGTTGGTGATTTCATTTCTGTTTGGAATCCATTGGTTAAAATCTAGTCCACCTGATCTTAATTATCTGAATTAAAGTTTTATAATTGCAGTTTTTAATACTGGGATGGTTATTTGCCCAGCTGAAATGCAGTTTCTTATTAAAAAATAAAGGCCAAATGCCAATAGCTCATGTCTGCTCATGTCTATAATTCGAGCTACACAAGAGGTTGAGATCTGAGGATCATAGTTCAAGGCCAGCCCAGGGCAGACAAAAATCTCAAGAGTCTTATCTCCACTTAACCAGAAAAAAAGCTAAAAGTAAAGGTATGGCTCAAATGGTAGAGCATCAGTGAGAGAGCAGAGTGAGAACAGAAGGCCCTGAGTTGAAGCCCTTCACAAAGAGAGACAGAGGAGGAAGAGGGGTGGGCAGAGGGAAAAGGAGGAAAGGAAGGGAGGGAGGGAGTGAAGAAGAAAGGGGAAAAGAGGGGGAACGAGGAAGGAAGGGAGGAAGGGAAGGAGGGAGGGAGAAATCTGGAGGATGCCTATTGAACTATACCTCTTACACTGTACACTCAGACACATTTCTTGTGGAACTTGAAATTTTCAACCTTATTTGATTGTTTGTTCAAGAAGTAGTTTTTTGTTGGTTGGTTGGTTGGTTTTTTGTAATGTGTGTAGTGGTATGGAAATTTGTGTAGCCATTTGGTAGTCTTCCATGAAGACTGCTTGATACAGTCACCAACACAAAAATATTAGCAATGTGCTGGCTATTGAACTACTATGAATCTCAAAAACATATCCTTTCTTGCTATAGCTAAGGTATCATCTATAAAGTACTCAGGCTCCTGGGGTTATAGCTGTGAAATTCTGAGAAAGCTTTTTGTTTTATTTTTTTAAGAAAAAAAAATACATGGTGTAGGCTTATTCTAGACAATCTTGTATAAGAATCTCTAGAGTGGAAGTTGGGAGGAGGCCAGGAAGTGTGTAGTTGTATAAAGTATCCTCATATGGCCAGACACTAGTAGCTCACACCTGTAATCCTAACTAATCAGGATGCTGATATCAGAGGATCGAGGTTCTAAGCCAATGCTTGGCAGAAAGTCCATGATACACTTATCCACCGAAAATCTAGAAGTGGAACTATGGCTCAAGTTGGTAGAGTGCTAGCCTCTAGCAAAAAAGCTCAGAGAGGGCTGGGAATGTGGCTTAGTGGTAGAGTACTTGCCTAGCATGGATGAAGCCCTGGGTTCAATTCCTCAGTACCATGTAAACATAAGAGGCCAGCGTGGTGCTGTGGCTCAAGTGGTAGAGTGCTAAGCCTTGAGCAAAAGCAGCTCAGGGACAATGCCCAGGCCCTGAGTTCAAGTCCTGGGACTGGAAAAAAAATCAGGGATAGCACCCAGGACCTGAGTTAATAAGTATCCTCACATAATTCTCTCCCCCCCCCCATAATTCTAATGGTTAAAAACCTTGGTTTCGAGCCACTGTAATAAAAGATTGAAGGTTTTTCCTAAGCTCAAATACTAATTCCATTAGTCACTGAGTATCAGCTATATACCAGACTTTGGGGGGGGGAGGCAGTTCTAAGTCTTGAACTCAGGGCTTGGGTGCTGTCCTTGAACTTTTGTGCTCAAGGCTAGTGCTCTACCACTTAAGCCATAGCTCCACTTCCTACTTTTTGATGGGTAATTGAAAATAAGAGTATCATAGACTTTACTGCCCAGCTGGCTTGGAACCAAGATCCTTAGATCTCAGTCTCCAGAGTTGCTAGGATTATAGGCAATAGCCACCGGCACCTGACCACATTCCATAACTTCTAACCATGGAAAAATGTCTTTACATAAATGTGTTTTAGAGTAGTAATGAGTAGAAGTAATATGTGTGATTCTGATTCCCAGGACTGAAGTGGAACCCTCCTGGTTGTTAGAAGTGAGCCAGAAAGTCAATAAAGTCCCAGTTAAAATAGAACTAAGAAATGGAAGAATACTGCTACTTACAGAAACAGAAAACATAACTAAGTTTTATGGATGCATGGTAAACATAGTAACCTACATGATAACAAATTCTGTTGTGATGTAGTAAAAAGTATGTAATAAGAAACCTGTAAAATAGCCTACTAAAAGTAAATCAAGCTTTGCAACATTGCTTCCTGCTTACAAGTTTCAAACCCTCCATAGAGGAGTGGGCAGTGAAAACTAGTCATCTATGATAGTCTAGTAATGATTCCTTGTGTATTGTCACTAGGAGAGAACATGGTGGAATTGAGCACTTCTGGGTCTGCAACAAGGCCTGGCTGGAATTAGTCTTGACTGTGTTCTTAGGCCAGATTGATTCATCATTACATTAGGGACAAAAAATAATGATGGCATTAGGTTGAATAAACATTGGTTTGCACATATTAACAAACTGTTGAATGCATGTAAGTACATACACATTTACTTAAGTACATTAAAGAATTTTTAGTTTTCTTAATAATAATTTCCTAGCTAAATGGATGCCAAAAGAACCACTAGTACTGAAAGAAGGTCTTTGGAATTTGTTTACCTTACTTGGAAAGTAGTTGTCATGTGTTAAGGGGTGGTGACTGCTTTAGAGAACCTATGGTATAGAATTCAACTTAACTTTCTAAAGTGGCCTTTTAACTTTTAAGCACTGAGGTTCTTGGTTCTTCTAGGTTTATGTGTGGATCTATGACCCAGTTCACATTAAAACATTTGTCATGGGATTAATTCTTGGTAAGTAGCAATATGTAAGTAAACTTAAAATACAATCTAAATTTTAGAAAACAAAATAGAGCACCACAAAGGAAAATACTTATAAATTTAGCATAAAATTGTTACTGTTACAAAAGAGTATACTTTAAATAAACCCAGAAGATAAATGACAAATTAAGAAAAATATAAATACAAAGATCTATGAGTTTAGCCTGATAGAAAAGTGGCAAAGGTAGCACATTGACAAAAAAATAAAATCCACTCATCATGGATGATGCTTAATTGTACTTAGAAGAGCAACAAGGATCCGAGAATTACAAAATTTTACAGAGATAGTCTTTGGGGGAAAAAACATTCCAGTATTTCATGGGTATATCCATTAGTTAGCTTTTAGAGCAGGCAGTTTAGCAATATCTTGGAAATACCAAATGCATATATCCAGTATTTCTGCTTCTAGGAATTTATCCCCATATTTATCCCATTTTGTATGTATAGTGCAGTGTATGTATATTTACATGTAATCACTTTTAATCTAAATTTTTCAGATTGCACTTAAGAGCTAATCTAGCAAATATCCTTCAAATTTTAAATTCCTAGTACTTTTGCCACACCCATTCCATTTAAAGCAATTCTGTTAGTCTTTTTGCTGTTTTTGTTTTGTGATGCTGGGGATCTGAAACAGCCATGTGCATACTAGACAAGTACTGTACCAGTGAGCTACATTATCAGTCCAGAATTGCTCTATTATAGAACCGTACATGTACAAATGTACGTTTACAATGATATCTGCAATATTAGATTATTTGTACCTCTGATAGATTAAAACTGAAAAGAATTCAGATTCCTTAATAGAAAGGTGAAACAAATTATAATCGAATACTATGCATCTTTTAATGAATTAGGATATACTGGTAGAAAGATAACCTAGGCTATGTTAAAGAATAAAAGTAATTGCAGAAGTGAAAATTACATGTTTATTTAGAGAAGAAATTATATGGAGATAGTTTTAATCATAGCTAGGCAGTCCCTGGGAATAGAAGTTTAATAGTATTTACTTCTGGAGAATGGATGAATTAGATGAAAGCTTAATACCTTTTGGATTGCTGTTGTCTTAATTGGTGTACTGAAGATTAAATAAAGCTTTGCACAGGCTAGGCAATTATGCTACCACTTGAGCCTATACCTCACTGAGCTTTTTTTTCTTTGCTTTTTTCTTTTTTTGTGCCAGTACTGGGGCTTGAATTTAGGGCCTGGGCACTGCTTCTTGGCTTTTTTCACTTGATACTGGGGCTCTACCACTTGAGCCATAGCTCTACTTCCAGCTTGTAGTGGTTAATTGGAGATAAGAGTCTCATGATTTTCCTGTCCAGGCTGCCTTCAAACAGCAGTCCTCAGATCTCAGCCTCCTGAGAAGTTAGGAATATAGGTATAAGCCACCTGTGCTTGGCTTCCCCAGACCTTTTTGTTCATTGATTTTCCCCCCTCCCTCCCTTTTGGCCATACTAGAGTTTGAACTCTGCCATTTGAGCCATGTTCCAGCCCTTTTTTACCTTAGGCTGGGCTCAGACTTCAGTACTTCTCTTACCTGTGCCTCCTTACAAACATATACTACTATACTGATCTTGTTTGTTGAGATGTGGGTCTCACTAAATTTTTAGCTGGTCTACCCTATAATCACAGTCTTTTCAGTCTGTAGTCCCTAAATAGCTGGGATTATACTAGCTGTGCCCAAGAGTTTTTAGTTTTGAGAAGGGTCTTGAGTTACCTTTTTTTCCTTCCACCCCCAAAGAACTGGAATTACAAGTATGCACCATCTTGCCTATCTTTTGTGTTGTTTTTTAATTTGCTTTTTAAACATGAATGTATCTTTCAGGTATGGGTGGGGGGAAAAACCCAATTTAACAAGTAGGAAAGGTAGATATTACTTAAAATTAGTTTGGTCAGTATGATAGGATTCCATTCCAAATAGCCCAGGAAGATTTGGAACTGTTAAATTTGAATAGTTAACTAATGGCTGTTGATTACTTATACTATTATGCCAAATACTTGCTATGGACTGTCTCCTCTCTCCTCCCAACATTTATGAAATAGGAACAGGCACTTAGATAACTTAGTCTCAAAGGGTTAAGTGGCTTGCCCAGGATTACTTAATGTATGATGGAGCTAAAATTTGAATCCTCTTATTTCTAAAGACCTAATAATTAAGCTTTTAATTTCTTAGCAATTCCTTCATGTGATCACACTTCCAGTTTCCCTGGCTGCCAGAGCAAACCTGTATTAGCATCTCTTGGTGAGCTCAGCTCATTTTATTCTGTGGGTGTCAAGGATCCACCCACAATCTTATCTCCAGGGTGGATATTTGGAGTCATTTTTTTCCAGAGGAGGATGTTGTTTAAGTTCCCCAACTTAGTACACAGGCTAATGTTTAAAAATAATATAGTCATGGCTTGAAAATGTTAAGAGTTGGTAAGTTAAGGGGTGGTTTTGAATGTCTAGACATATATTTCTAATTAAATGTAATTTAGATTAGAAATCATAACCTAGTTTAAGAACAATATAAAATGTTAGGTTAAGTAATAGGAAATTAATTGATCATTGTTTACTTACACAAGAGACAATATTATGTTTCACAGTTTTTCCCCCATGAATGTGTTCAATGTTACTGCAACCAGCTATTTAAATTTTTATTCTAAAAGTCATCTCTAACCTGTTTTTTCTTTCAGTGATTGCAGTAATAGCAGCCACCCTCTTTCCTCTTTGGCCAGCAGAAATGAGAGTAGGTGTTTATTACCTCAGTGTGGGTGCAGGCTGTTTTGTAGCCAGCATTCTTCTTCTTGCTGTTGGTAAGTAATATTTATTACTAGTATACTGACCTAAGTAAGGTAAGTATTAAGCAGTTGGACACTAAGCACAGCTTCAAGAAAGCTTAGTAACAAAATTAATGTAAGCAAATAAAAAAATGAGATGTATGATCCTACTTTGTGAGTCTATTCTGAAAAAAAGGTTTACCATATGGCTTTTTAAAAATTACTTCATGTATGTGGTTGACAAATTGGAATATTATACTTCATAGAGTAGAATATAATGTTTTCATGTATGTACACAATGTGGAACTTGAAAACTGTAAACGTACACATCACTTTGCTTACCTATCATTTTTATGGTGAGACATTAGAAATTATCCGAAGTTACTTTGAAATATACATTATTATATTACTACCCCCTCCCCAGACCTGATCCTCTCACTTGTTCAGCTGGCACATTATCATTTGATCCACATCTCCAGCCCTATTTTTTCTTATTTTTCCTATTTTTTTCAAAAGTCTAATGACTTTTCTGCCAGGGCTTTGAACACAATGCACCAGATTTCAGCCTCCTATGTAGCTAATACTCCAGCATGAGCCATTGACATCCAGCCATTATTCTGTTAATCAGCAAAGAAATGCATTTTAAAAATTAGTTGCAGAAGGCCTGGGAATGTGGCATAGTGGTAGAGTGCTTGCCTAGCATGCAAGAGGGCCCTGGGTTCTATTCCTCAGTATCACATAAACTAAAAAAATAAAATTAAAATTAGCTGCAACATGGATTTAATAATTTTTCAGTGGTAAATCATTTATTAGATATGATACTTTAAATAAGCCTGTTTTATATTTAGCTTAAGGCAAATGCAAGTTGTATTAAATATTTAAATTCTGTGCATGGTTCTAAACAATTTGCCACTTTGGGGAAAAAAATAAATAATTTTCACTCAGGTGAATTTTAGGTACAGTACATACATAAATGTTTAAAAATCAAACAGGAGACTGGGGTTGGTAATTCAAGCTTGTAATTCTCCATACTTAGGCAGAAACTAAGTGATTGAATTTTGAGCCGTCCCAGGCAATTTTGCAAGAGTCTATCTTACTCAATGGCTGGGCATGTGTTTCCAACTATGGGAAACACAATGTCATAGTTGGAAACACAATGACTTGGTATAGTGACACAGGGAAGCACAAGCAGAAGGATTACAGCCTGGAGTTTATGTTGGTATGTAATAGAAAGTTCTAGCTATTTTCCTCAAATGACAGATTAATTTTTTTCACCAAGCTTTGTGATTATGTTTTGCCAATACCTGGCTGGGTGTTTAAACTCAGAGCTTATGCTTGCTTTCTACAGCTTGCATTCTACCACTTGAACCACACCTCAAGCCTTGCTTTTTCCTGGTTATTTTAGAAATGAAGTCTCTTAGACTTCCTACGTTGACCTCAAACTGTTATCCTGTGGACCTTAGCTTTCTAAGTGACTTGGTTTACAGGCATGAGCCACCAGTACCCATCTAAGAATACTTCTTTATAAAAGAAAAGACAGGCTGGGAAGGTGGCTCAGTGGTAGAGCGCTTGCCTTGCATGCCTGAGGCCCTGGGTTCAATTCCTCAGCACCACATAAGAAAAAAGCCAGAAGTGGCTCTGTGGCTCAAGTGGTAGAGCTAGCCTTGAGCTGAAGAGCTGAGGGACAGCGCCCAGACCCAGAGTTCAGGCCCCACGACTGGACCCAAAAAAGAAAAGAAAAGACAGTACTCACATTGTTGACCTAATAGAAGACATAATTTGGCCAAGGTTTTTCTGAACTGAGTGCATTTTATTCCCAGGTGCTATGATATATAAAATAGATTTTTTTTATTAAAAAGCATTGCTGCTATAGCCCAAAGCAATGTTATATATCCCTTCCTTCTGGCCATTAAAGTGTCCTGATGTGCCACCAGCCTTGAACTCAGTTCATCCAGTGCTTCAGTCAGTCATATGTCTATGATTTTTTTTGGGGGGGGGGGGGGCGGTGGTCGTGGGGTTTGAATTCTGGGCCTGGGCACTGGGACTGAACTCTTAGGTTCAAGAGCTCTACCACTTGAGCCACAGCACCACTTCCAGTTTTCTGGTGATTAATTGGAGATAAGAGTATCATGGACTTTCCTGCCTGGGTTGGCTTTGAACTGTGATCCTCAGATCTCAGCCTCCTGAGTAGCTAGAATTACAGGCATGAGCCATCAGCGCCCAGCCTCTATGATCTCTTAATGAGGCTTCTCACTTCTCTTTCATCTAGCTTAGTCACCTTGACAAAAGATCCCTGCTGCGACAGCTGTATTTCACAAAATAATATCTAAGCCTGTTGTGCAGGTAATGAGTGTTGGTGTAATGAAATAGTAAAGTAATAAACTTCAATCTGACATTAGATATAATTAATTCTTACTCAAACCAATAAAATTTAAAAACTGCTTCAAGGAGCTGGGAAGGTGGCTCAGTGGTAGAGTGCTTGCCTTGCATGCATGAGGCCCTGGGTTCGATTCCTCAGCACCACATAAGAAAAAAGAGGGAAGTGGTGCTGTGGCTCAAGTGGTAGAGCGCTAGCCTTGAGCTGAAGAGCTGAGGGACAGCGCCCAGGCCCAGAGTTCAGGCCCCGTGATGGGACCAAAATAAAATAAAATAAAAACTGCTTCAAATTTTTCAGTAAATTTTAGCTCTACTGAATAGATTTGTTCATTTGCTTATCCTATAATTAGGCCAGTAACCATTATTATTACTAGGTTATTTTGTTCTTTAAAATGCCATTTCTCGCTGGGTGCCTCATACCTGAGGCCAGTGACTCATATTGTAATCCTAACTACTCACAAGGCTGAGATCTGAGGATGTCGTTTGAAGCCAGCCCGGGCAGAAAAGTCCTGGTGAAACATCATCAGTTAACCACTCAAAAACTGGAAGTGGAGCTGTGGCTGTAGTGGTAGAGCACTAATCTTGAGTACAAAGAGGCTTAGGGACAGCACCCAGACCCTGAGTTCAAGCCCTACAACTGACAAAAAACAAAACTTATTTTTTGTAATTTTTCAAGGTTGCTACGGATTTAAATTTGTATTATAAATTAAAGACTCTTAAAAACCCAACATTTTATGTTTATTTTGTTAGAAAATACAGTTACAAATACTTTTTCAAATATTTGATATATACCACTTGGATTTTTTTATTGTATGAAGTACAATTGTTCAAAATTATATTTGGTGTTATTTTAAATATGCATTCTTAGCATTACAACCCTCTCCCTTTTTTTTCTAATCCTGGGGCTAGAATTGAGCTTTTGTGTATAAGGGTAGCACTGTTCTACTTGAGCCACAGCTCCACTTCTGACTTAGAGATAAGAGATGAGTCTCACAGATTTCCCATGTTGGTTGGCTTCAAACCACAATCCTCAGATCTCAGCCTCCTGAGTGGCTTTAATTGTGTCATTTTTAGTGTAGCAGTGGTATGACAGTACATGACATAGTTTATCTAAGATTCTTCCTTTTGTGCTTTTGGTAACCTAATGCCACATGGAGAAAAAACTGTGCAGTATGTTAAATTTCAGTTTATATGTGGTACGAAATTAGATTTTATTTATGCTATTTTTTTTTTTTTTGGGGTCCGGTCATGGGGCCTGAACTCTGGGCCTGGGTGCTGTCCCTCAGCTCTTCAGCTCAAGGCTAGTGCTCTACCATTTGAGCCACAGCACCACTTCCAATTTTCTGGTGGTATATTGGAGATAAAAGTTTCACAGCCTTTTGCCCAGGCTGGCTTTGAACCGCAATCCTCAGATCTCAGCCTCCTGAGTAGCTAGGATTACAGGCATGAGCCACCAGCACCCGGCTTGGAATTTATTCTTAAATCATAATTTCAGACACATTGGCCTTTTCTTTTTTTTGCCACAACTTATGCAGCTTTATAAATATTAATGCTAATATATAAATTAAGGCAGTTACAGAATAATAAAAGAAGCGTAGATGAACTTTTTTAATGCTTTCTTTGAAATCAGTTATATATAATTATAATGGAAACAAAATAGAATCAGAAAATCTGCATAATTGATTTTTGGAGTTGATATGATCATTATGACCTTTAAAAAAGAAGAAAAACATCACTGAGCTGCATGTATATAATTGGTGAGTTAATAGAAAACATTAACTATTGAGACGTGATAATTTATTGCTACCCACTTAAAAATCCAAATCTCCTTATTTTTTTTGGGGGGGGGGAGGCTTTTTTGTTGGTTGTGGGGCTTGAACTCTGGGCCTGGGCACTGTCCCTCAGCTCTTCAGCTCAAGGCTAGCGCCCTACTACTTGAGCTCTACTTCCGGCTTTTTTCTGCATATGTAGTGCTGAGGTTTGGCTTGGTTTGGTTTTTAAGAATAGTAATATAGCATTACACCTCTCAAGTTCAAAGCAGAATGCCCTGCTTAAGAGATTTTGTCACGGGCTGGGAAGGTGGCTCAGTGGTAGAGTGCTTGCCTTGCATGCATGAGGCCCTAGATTCGATTCCTCAGCACCACATAAGCAGAAAAAGCCGGAAGTGGCGCTATGGCTCAAGTGGTAGAGCGCTAGCCTTGAGCTGAAGAACTGAGGGACAGCACGCAGGCCCAGAGTTCAGGCCCCACAACCGACAAAAAAAAAAGAGATTTTGTCATAGCTGCTAAACTTGTCAGGATTTAAATTTTCATATTTAACATAAAATGAAATGTGCTGATAAAAGTGAATGATACTCCCTACTGAGTTAATGCTTGACTTATTCAATTAGAGAAATTTTTTTCCTACAGCTCGTTGCATTCTGTTTCTTATCATCTGGCTCATAACTGGAGGAAGGCACCACTTTTGGTTCTTGCCAAATCTGACTGCCGACGTGGGCTTCATTGATTCCTTCAGGCCTCTGTACACACACGAATACAAAGGACCAAAAGCAGACTTAAAGAAAGATGAGAAATCTGAAACTAAAAAGCAGCAGAAGTCCGACAGTGAGGAAAAGTCAGACAGTGAGAAAAAGGAAGATGAGGAAGGAAAAGTAGGACCAGGAAATCATGGAACAGAAGGCTCAGGAGGAGAACGACATTCAGACACAGACAGTGACAGGAGGGAAGATGACCGGTCCCAGCACAGTAGTGGAAATGGGAATGATTTTGAAATGATCACCAAGGAGGAGCTGGAACAGCAAACAGATGGGGATTGTGAAGAGGAGGAGGAAGACAACGATGGAGACACACCTAAAGCTGCACATGAAAAGTCATAATCTGACCAATTTGGGGACTGAATAGTGCAAGAGGTTGGATTTTCTATGTTGGCTGATCATCATAATGTACACATGACACTGTAGCATTCTTTAAATCAATTTACCGACGTGTATTTGACATTCAAGCAGTGATAGTCCTTCGTTTTATAGGATATTGGTACTATTCTTGGTACAGTCTACAGCCATTAATGAGTTTTATCCATTTGATAATTTTACAGTAAATAGGTCTCATTCATTTTGATAGATATCAAAGATGCATTTTCCACATTGACATTTAGATTAAGGGCATTTTTGATAGTTATATGGCTTTTTACTGTTAGACTAATCAAAATAACTTTGAAAAGAATAAAGTAACTCCAATGTGTCAGATTATGCATAGTTATGTAGCCATTTCACAGTTTCCTTAGAATGAAATGCTTAAACTCATTGTTCTCGATAGTTTTTCTCTTTATAACATTATACCAGAAGTTTCTTCTAATATTCTGAGTTAGCAGGGATCAAAAGCATTTTGTGGAAACAAACCAACTAATAACGATGCAACAATATTTTTAACAAAGCTACAAATTCTCCTTTTCCAACAGAGGAAATCCAAACTGAATTGTACATTTGATTCAGAGAAAGATGGTCATCTCCAGCAGACAAACGCTTCTTCCTTCTTCCCCTCTCCTTGTCGTAACATAAAGTGTATTCTGTACATAATTTACAAATAAAACATTTTATTTTAATTGTTACTTATTATTTAGACTTCAACATAAATTTGTACAATAAAGACCATGTAAGGGTATGTTTTGAGAGGAATGGAAGTTTCCATAACCCACAGGACATCTGTGATCTTTCCACAGCAGCTTCAGTTTTGTGCCAACATTCCATGTATTTGAAAATGAGTAAAAACTGATCCCAATTAAACAGAAGCAGACCGAAAATAGCTGTTTGTACGCCTTAATGTTCATCTTGATTTATTTTAAATCTTTCCATTTAAAAATGGGGTATTCTGTTATCTGACCAGGAGACACCGCTGTGAGAGTTTACTGTTCTAAAATATCAACTTAAAATAAAGGATATAAAAGAAAATATAGACAACCATTGGACTGTAATTACTTCAAAGTAATTTTGCTGTTTGATTTTTTATCTTGGATACATTAGTTACAAATCATAGGAAAGCCTTGCTTACTTAGAGCATAATCACTCTGCAGTTCTATTTTTCTTGTTGGCTAATAATGACTATTAAATGACTTTGCTCAGTCACGGAGCATTTTGTTTTGTAGATGAAACAGGTAGAGTAGGACTTTCCCTCATCTATGTGTCTGACTAAAAATGGTAAACTCTTGGCATTGTGAAAAAATGTACTTCCTGTATATTGACACATCTTATGCTATGTGATTTGATCACTTCATTGTTGTATTCTTTGTAAATGGGCAGAAGTGTTAGTGAAACACTGCTGGGCTGCAGTCATTTTAACAAGTTTTTTCTTTGCAAAGATTCATTGAGTTTAGTGCCTAGGTATCTTCCCTTTAGATTTGCAAAGCTCTGCTACTTTATTTTCATAGTAGAATATAATTATTGTTTCTGAGATGTTAGGGTTTTTAATGCCAGTACTGAAATGAACTCTGGGCCTCTCATGGCTTTTTCTGTCTGACTCTTGAGTCACAACTCCACCTCTGAAGATAATTGCTGGTTAACTAGAAATAAGAGTCTCAGATTTGTCTGGGCTTATTTCAAACAACACCCCAGATCTCAGCCTTCTAAATAGTTATGATTATAAGCATGAGCCATGGGCACCCGGCTCTGAGTTTCTTATTAGTAACAATACCTATTTTAGGAGTATGAAAATAGTATCAGAAGTGTTTTACAGAAATAAAATTGGAGGGCTGGGAAGGTGGCTCAGTGGTAGAGTGCTTGCCTTGCATGCATGAGGCCCTGGGTTCGATTCCTCAGCACCACATAAACAGAAAAAGCTGGAAGTGGTGCTGTGGCTCAAGTGGTAGAGCACTAGCCTTGAGCTGAAGAGCTGAGGGATGGTGCCCAGGCCCAGAGTTCAGGCACCATGACTGGCAAAAAGAAAAAGAAAAAAACAAAATTGGTTTTGTTAACCTTTATTACTCTTGGTAATAGTCAAGCACTCAGTATTGAAAGTTCTTTATATTACAAGTACATGTGGAGCATGCAGACAGTAGGTCAGTTTCTTGTTGATATGTGTGGATTCTGCAGAATGTTGGTAAAAACTTCTAGAAATGTTTGGTGAATCTCTGGGAGAAATCTTATTAAGAATAATGTGGTTAAAAAGTGAGCCAGAAGCCAGGCCCTGGTGACTCACACCTGTAATCCTAGCTACTCAGGAGCTTGAGATCTGAGGATTTTGGTTCAAAGCCAACCCAGGCTTTAGGAAAGTCCATGAGACTCTTTATCTCCAATAAATTACAAAAAGCCAGAAATTGTGGTGTGGCTCAAGTGGTAAAGCACTAGCTTTGAGCAAAAGAAGCTCAGGGATTCCAAGCCCAGAATTCAAGCCCCAGGTCTAGGGCCCCTTCCCACCCCACCCCCCAAAAAAGAAAAGCTACAGGTTTCAACTTAGTTTCCATTGTGTTCTTCAAAATTGAATAAACAAATAGAAAAATCAAAAGGCTGCCTTTGTTACAGTCCTCAGAAGAACAGAGGGCTGTCTTTGTTGGCTAACAGCAAATATCCTGCATTTACAATACCAAATAAAATAGCGATTGAAAAAAAAAAAAGAACCCAGGCACTGGTGGCTCACCCCTGTAATCCTAGTTAATAACCCTGAGCAAAAGTAGCTCAGGGACAGTGTCCAGGTCCTGAGTTCAAGCCCCTGGACTAACACAGAAAAAAAAGCAAAAAAAATTGGGATGCTATTACAATAAAGAGAACCATAATGTGGGATTTATGGTGGCCTGGATGTAAACTGGCATACAGAGGCAAGACAAGCATGTGTGAGTGCTCTTGAAGTCAGCTTACTGAAAAGGGTGCTTTTCCTCTGCTGCCTTCTAGATGTTAACTAAATAAATACCAATTCAGGAAGTAACTATAATTCATTCCACTGAAATGATGTAGTAGTCATGGGTTTTGGTGTTCCTTGCTTTCTGATTTTATACTATGAGTTCCAATTAAATGCAGACTAGGAAATGACCTCTTGTATGCCTGTCCAAAGACTTGAACTCAGCTCCTGGGAGTTATCCTTAAGCTTTTTGGCTCAAGACTAGCTCTCTACCATTTGGGCCACAACTTTCAGCTTTTTGGCTATTAATTGTAGATAAGAGTATCTCGGACTTTCCTGCCTGGGCTGGCTTTCAACTCAGATACTCAGATCTCAACCTTCTAAGTAGCTGAGTTTACAGGCCTGAGCCACAGGTCCCAGCTTTGTGTCTTGTTTCCCACTGAATAAGAACTTTTTTCCTCATCCTTAGCTGTAGTGTATTTCATTCTTAACCTCCATCATTCTCTTTCCCTCTACCTGTTCCCCATTATCCCCACAAATAGACCAGAGTTGATTACAATCAAATTATGTGTGTATGTATGTATGTTTATATAGGTGTATATATTTATATATATACACACATATGCACATGTGTATCTTTTTTTAAGTCTAGATTCTGCAAGTGACCAGAACCATGAATTATTGGGCTTTTTGAGCTTGGCCTATCTCGCTCATCTCCAGCTCCATCTGCTTTCCTGCAAATGACCAAATTTCATTTTGCTTTAGCCTGTGTGTGCCTTTGTATACACACATGCCATATGTCTTTTATCCATTTCTTCTTCAGATACATACCAAAGAGTGGTACAGTGGTCACAGCAAAGCAGGACAAAGCAAAAAAAATACTTTTAACAAAACAATCAAAAATCCCCCTTCCAGGGGCTGGGAAGTGGCTCAGTAGTAGAGCGTTTGCCCTGTATGCATGAGGCCCTGGGTTCGATTCCTCAGCACCACATAAGCAAAAAGAAAAAAAGCCAGAAGTGGTGCGGTGGCCCAAGTGGTAGAGCGCTAGCCTTGAGCTGAAGAGCTGAGGGACAGCGCTCAGACCCAGAGTTCAGGCCCCACGACCAGACCCCCCCCCCCCCCCAAAAAAAAATTCCCCTTCCAACCTGCCTGCACAGTTTCCCATCCTATTCTAGTCTTTTCCAGGCATGTTTAGAATTTCTTCATGCATATACAATAAAGTACAAATATAGATTTTTATTTTTGCTGAATCTTTTTCCCTCTTCCCCTTTTTAAAACCAAAAGCACATATTTTGTTGTCTTCAGTGTGGTGCTTTGGTCATATCAGTGTCTGGAGCATTGCATGGTGAGCTGTGTGCTTCAGGACGGTTTCTTACCTGCCTGAAGTGTCTGTGTCTCTTTGTGTCCTTCCCTGTTATCTGGTTGAACCACCTGTTACCTAACACCCTAATACTCAGGCATTTCAAGGTTTGTTTGTTTGTTTGTTTTTAAGTGCAGCAGGTTAGACAATTTGTTGAAAATACCAATTCTAGTCTTTTATCTTCCAAAGTAGCTGTACAATTTAGAAATGAAAATCAACATCAGGATTGATTACTCCTCATGAAGAGACAAAGTCCTACATCTTAAAATAAGTGCCTTGTTGGGGGTTTAAAATGATAAAAGTTGAAAAAACTGGTCTTTTGGTTAATGGCAAGAAATTAGCAGAATAACAAAGCCGATTATGGGATTAAAACAACAACAACAAGGAACTTGGAAGACTAAGGACAGACAACTCAGGTTTGGACAAAGAAAACATTGTCAGTTAATGTCTTGCAGTGGCTGCCTTGAACTAAGCAGAAATAGTATCTTTCTAGAAGTGTTTGGATGGCAAAATAACTCACTTGAATTTTGTGCTTTGAATAAAGAAGAATCCATTTTAGTCTTTGTAACAATAATACTATGTAATAAATCGCAATTCAGGGATTTAAAAAACAGCAGTCTATACCTCAGATTTGGCAATGATGTTTAAGATAAAAATATCAAAAGTACAGTCCACAAAGAAGCTTGGTAGGGTGGACCTCATTCATATTTAAAAGTTATATTCTGCAAAAAGGACACTGCTCAGAGAATGAAAACGCAAACCACAGGCTGGAACAAAAGTTTTGCCAAACACTATCTGAGATAGGCCTTATATCCAAAATAGGTAAATTTAAAACAGTAAGAAAAGGGGAGGAGCTGGGAAGGTGGCTCAGTGGTAGAGCGCTTGCCTTGCATGCATGAAGCCCTGGGTTCGATTCCCCAGCACCACATAAGCAAAAAGAAAAAAAGCCGGAAGTGGCGCTGTGGCTCAAGTGGTAGAGTGCTAGCCTTGAGCTGAAGAGCTGAGGGACAGCACCCAGGCCCAGAGTTCAGGCCCCACGACCGGACCCAAAAAAAAAAAAAAAAGGGTGGGGGGATGTTAAAGTGGACATCTCAGCGAAGAAGACATACAGATGGTAAATAAGCACAAGAAACCATATCATGTCATTAAGGAATTTCAAATTAAAACAATGTATTACATATGTCATTAATGAACCTTGGTCAGCTTTGCATTGCTATAAGGAAATGCCTAAGGTGATTAGCATATAAAAGAGGAAAGGTATATTTTTGGCTCTTGGTTCTGGAGGCTCCAGTCTATTACCTGGTAGTTCCATCATTCACTGTAGGTCTCTAGGGAAAGCCACAGCTCAGGGAAGGAGTATACTGAAGCAAACTGATTACAACATGAACCAGGATGTAGAGAAAAAGAGAGGCTCAGTAAGATCCCATGATCCCTTTCAGGAGCAGTGACCTGACAACCTCCCATAAGGCCCTGCTTCCTAGTCCAATGAACCTCCCATTTCCTCCACATGGGGGCCAAGCCTTTACCACAGGGACTTGTGGGAGACATTCATCCAAACTGTAGCAAGGAGATACCTTGACTACACACTTCTAAGAATGGCCAATGTGCAACGTACTAACCACACAAAGATAGCATGGATGGGAGCAACAATCGGTGGCAATGTGGCTATGGCATGGTGTAGCCACTTGGGAAGACAGTCTGGCTGTTTCTTACTTGTTAGAACTATGAATCTCCACAAATGCACTGAAAGTAGTAGCTGATTTTG